ACTAGAATCATAAAAGCGAACAAAATATAACATGCATTGAGTGTGTACAAAGGGCTGGTTAGTTAGCGTAGTGAGGAAGGAGAAACATTTGACGTGAACAGAGCGAGACGACCACATCGCCATTTTGAAATTACTCCCAGATCAAAGGTCTCAGACTGACCAAAGCGCGCCCCTACATGTCACGGGTCCAGCCTTTCAAACGCAGGGTTGTTGTACGTTGCTGACAAGACGCACGTATTTTTTATCTCCGAGAAAGAAAACTAGCATCTGGCGGGAGCGGAAGGGGGGTGGGGTGTGTGCAAGCGTGTGTGTGTCGGGGTGGGGGGGGGGGGGGGAGGGAACAGCTGCTCCGCCAACGTCCTCCACGACCACACGAACCGGCCACTCACGGCCACACGGACCGGCCTTCCCCCCACCAGTGTCAGCGAGCGGCTCAACCCGGTGCTGCTCCGGTCACTGGAGCCCCTCTGGAGCGGCACCACGACTCGCACTCCTTCCACCCACCGGTCCGGGCTGCTGCGGGCTCCAGCCGGGGGCCGACTCGGGACCTCCCACCCACCGGTCCGGGCTGCTGCGGGCTCCAGACGGGGGCCCGACTCCGGGGCCTCCCACCCACCGACCCGGGATGCTGCGGACTCCGCTGGGGATCCAGCCCGGGAGCAAGCGGCCGGCGCGACCCCCCGGCCGGCGGGAGCCCTTTAACTGCGGTGGGCGGGGACGAACGGGTGACGGCGACGGACCGAGACGAGCACGGAGGCACCCCGTGCGGACCTGATGACTCGGTCAGATATCTCCCAGACCGGCGCCGCGCAGCAGCCACTGCACCGGCCGGCCACACATGCCCGCACCACCTGCAGACTCATGGAGTGGCTGCAGAAACTACAGTCAAAATGCCTCTGATCTGCGGTGCTCTAAAACGCATCACACGTGACTTCAAACATTGGGCCTGGTGCCACCGGTCAGAGCTCTGGTTTGGTGCACACGCACAGCTCAGTGTGACTGATTAGCTTATGTTACATCACGAAGCCATTGCAGGTATGTAAGTATGCATGTATGTATGTATGGCTTGGCTTGGTATGGCAATATAAAGTAAGTATGGCTTGCAAGTTGTGTTGGTTTCTTTCTCAGTTGCATCAGTTTCTGTTTTACGCACGATAAGACACGTATGCCTTTTGTCCCTTGGCGTCTTGCTTCGTGCCCGCCGGTTTCCAGTCTCGTGTCACCTTTGCTCTGACTTCAGCCACCGTTACGTGCAGTTCCGAATACATTAAAGAAGCTAGCAGCAGCTGTTTGGACTCAGACCATCATTACGTGCAGTTCCGCGCTGCCTACAGAAACTAGAAATAACTGTTTCCACATAAGCCATCATTACGTGCAGCCGTACACCATTCCTTCCAGAAACCAGAAACACAAGCAATTGGTAATAAAATTAAGTGGCTAAGACTAAACTGCCTCGCCACAAACAGACGTGTATTTCAGTTTACAAGCCATGCGCTGCATGCTACCCAACCAACTGCACTTATGCCACACACTCGTAGCTCTAATTGTGCCCGGCATGGGCAATTGACTCTCACTACAACGAAGCACCGCCCTTGCTCGGAGCTAAAACACAAATTCTGTACAATTTGTGCACACAAAGTGCGAGAAAACGGGGCCAAACGGCACATTCCGAGAAAATCACAGGTGGAAACCAGCATCAGCCTCTCTCTCTCTCCTCTCTCTCTCTCTCTCTCTCTCTCTCTCTCTCTCTCTCTCTCTCTCTCTCTCTCTCTCTCTCTCTCTCTCTCTCCTCTCTCTCTCTCTCTCCTCTCTTCTCTCTCTCTCTCTCTCTCTCTCGCTTCTTCTCTCTCTTCTCTCTCCTCTCCTCTCTCTTCTCTCCTCTCTCTCCTCTCTCTCTCTCTCTCTCTCTCCTCTCTCTCTTCTCTCTCTCTCTCTCTCTCTCTCTCTTTCTCTGTCTCTCTCTTTCTCTGTCTCTCTCTTTCTCTGTCTCTCCCTCTCTTTCTCCCTACCACATGCCGTCGCGCGTGAACGCCTCCACGCTACTCCTCTTCGCGTCGCTCCTGACCGCCCCGCACGCCGGCTCTACAGCCTGTTGCTCGCGGGGCCGCTGCCGGCCGTGCAGCAGTGCTACTCGGAAGCCCAGGACAGCAGCGGAGGGCGGGCGTCAGCGTCCGCGACGCGGATGTGCCACAGGCGAACGACTGTCCGCCGGTGGCCAGCCTGGCCCCAGGCGGCAGGCTGATGTCACACAGGCGCGACCGCTGCCGGCCGTGCAGCAGTGCTACTCAGAAGCCCGCAGCGGCAGCGGAGGGCGGGCGTCAGCCTCGGCGAGGCGGATGTGCCAAAAGCGAACGCCTATCCGCCGGCGGCCAGCCTGGCCCCAGGCGGCAGTCTGATGTCACACAGGCGTGGGCGTTGCAGCGGCTACCGGGGGCGGCGGCAGTGGCGCGCGCTCCGGGCGGAGGCGAGGCGTCTCTAGGAAGCCGACGGTTCTCCGAGCCCCTGACCCCCACCGGACAGGGTCTGCACACCTGGCGCCGGGCAGATATCCCGCAAGCAGACGTGGAAACGGGAAATGAGATACGGCGAAGGCCTGCACATAACATCACCCGACTTATCTAATCTGACGGCAGCCTAGCCATATTATGAATGTGTGGCATCATTGGCCAGGCCTTTCTCATGCACCACAGGTGCATGAGACCACCATGTGTCTCGCAGAACCATAATAGGTTCTGCGAGGCACAACATATGAATTCATTTCTGACGGATTCATTTTCGAATGCAGCCCGCTTAATTTGACGTTCGAAAATTACCTGCCCGGAACGAGGCCACGTTATTCCCGAGTCAAAGAAAGCTGGAATAACTATTACAACGGTGGAAGTGCAACAGGCCGTGAAGAATAAAGCGACATTGCGCGAAAAGCGCCCATCATATTTTACAAAAAAACGACTGCGTGGGCGTCAAGGGGATAGCATTTACAACACCTATAAACATCTTACAAAAGTAACAGCACCATTTTCATCTGAAACAATTACATCTGGAGAGCAATTGGGATAAACTAATACCGTAGCCAACATAAGTGCTAAAAACCTGACAAACTGCTCTGACGATGGATGCCGTTGCGAGAATACACCGACTGCCTCCTAATTCGTAATGGACATCAATGATCTCCAGGCGCAAGCGAGCACCCGTGCAGCACTCCCCTACTCCCCTGCAGCAGTAGGAGACCTCCGTCAACATGCTACACGACTCGGCGGGTCTGCAGCGCTCCATAGCGTAATGGCTGGCTTATTCGACGACGCACTCGCTTGCCGACGCCATGAGCGTGGCGGCCACAAATCTCCGGCGATTTAAGGAGGCCCGGTGGCCGGGTAATGGCGGGCGCGTGCATCCCTGGTTAGTGGTAACACTAAACCCGACGCTGTCCGCTCGAAGCACAGCAGCCGACTTCATGATGGGCTTGCAATCACACAAGTTAAGAGCGCACGAGGTAACGGACCGATCCCGGGCTATATCCCGGACTAATACCCCGAGGTAATATCCCGGAGTAATATCCCGGATCCCGGACTATTTACGGCCGGATCCCGAATTATATGCAACCGGATCCCGGACTTGCCGGGTGAAGTCATTAAATCCGGCAGGATTCGCGTCATAAAACACAACGAAAACATTAAAAACATCTAGTGACCATGACGTCACATCACAACAAAATAAATCCCGCCTCTGCATCTCTGTTCTAGAATGTATTTTATACATATGTGCGAGCGCAGCTTTTGTATATCCCATGCATCATACTGGGTACATCCCAGTGATTACCTGATGCCATGCTTTTACCAGTACCACCTTGTCTATTGCAGATCCGTATGTTCACCATGACGAAGCATAATGCCAATTTGTGGTGGGTTAATATATTTCAGAGCAAATGGAAATATTTCCGTGAGCTAACTTACCCAAATGGCACCAAATGGCAATGACCAACAACCACTACACAAATTTGAACACCTCGTACAAACAAAACATCTCACATAGAGCAAATGACTAAACACGTCCAAGGAACGCTGGCCTGACCTGTCTCGGTTCACGGAAAAAAGGTCTCCAGGTAGGCAGATAATTCCAGACCGAACATGATCGTGGGCATTCTCTTTAGAGGTACCGGCTAGATCACATTTCTGGAATTCCAGAAAGACATTCAAAGTTTATTTTAGAAATTGGACGGACACGAATAAAACTATTTGCGTTTTCGACAGTCGATATCATTCTGTCGCGCCACGAACTGGTATGCATCTCAACTTATCTAAGGTTGTTTGTCTTAAAAATGACTTGATAACGCAAACAAGTTGTCGATGTTCACTGCCACACATTCGCTAGGCTATGGGACTTCGTGAGATGGAAGCGCGAGCGCCGATTTTTCCAGCATTCACAGTGGACACTAGTTTTGGATCCCCGTTTTACGCCTGCCGCTTTTGTGATAAGCTGTAAACTTTGCTAACTCGGAAATGTTTGAACAACCTGACTTTTTCAGACACTGTTTGGACGAACAGATGGTCTATCCTTGGACTTTGGATTAAACTTTGAACACGAACGCCCTGAAAACGGCACCTCTGGTTAACTCTGATTGAGTTCAAAGCTGAGACTTGGAGTTCATGCTCCATGAAAGAACTATAACCAAGTCTCCTGACACATCAAAATTGGGCTGAAACCAGGACATACGTTTCACTTTTGCGGCTTCATCAGTGTCATCGAGCCAAACACTGAGGACTGCACTGAGGAGGAGGCCGTAAAGGTAAAGCGTATTTGCCGTTTTTGGCTCTATTTTTAACGTATCATGAGACTTTCAGACATCGTTCTTTGCATAATCCGTAACTGTTCGTGTATTCCACGATCACAACGAATCTACAACGAATCAAACACGACCACGAATTCATGCTGCGTCGCGCCAGACAAGGGCGGGGCCATTGCGACCCAGATGGCGGACCATTGCTGGTCGGGGCTGAACCCACCTTCTGCGAGGAGGCGATGCTGAAGGAACGCGGCCGGACGGCCGGCACCATGTCCAGCAGGTACTCCAGCGGCAGCCGGCGCGCCGTGGCCGGGAAGTCGGCCAGGACCTCGAGCGCCGTGCGCCGCGGCCGGTTGCAGTAGTCGAACAGCTCCTGCTGGCCGGCGGCCGAGGCGAATTCGGCGAATTTCTCGCGCTCCATCTCATTTGCGGCGAAGTGCGCCAGCAGCTCGAAGAAAGAGCGGCGCGGCACGGCGTGGATGTCGAGCAGGTGCGTGGCCAGGTGCCGCAGCGAGCAGGGGCGCGGCAGGCGCGGCGCGCGCGGCCCGTCCACCAGCACCAGCCGGTCCGGCGGCCACTCCAGCAGCGCCAGCAGCTGGTCCACCTCCTCCGGCAGGTTCTCCGGCTGGACGGTGACCACGTCGCCCGGCCGGTAGGTGGCGCCCGAGCCGGCCACGTCCAGGCTGATGAGGCGCACCTCCTGGAAGTGGTCCTCGGGCGTGACGCGCCGGTTCCAGCGGACCCGACCCACGAACAGGCCGTCAGCCGTCGCCGCCTCCCCCTTCTCCTCCTCCTCCTCCTCCTCCGGCGCCACGCCATTCAGAGCCTCGTGCTCACCACCGTTCTCGTCCACGTGCGTGACCGTGAAGCGCGGCGCGGGCCGGCGGTCGGCCGGCAGCGGCTGCCGCCCCGCCGGCAGCGGGCAGAGCGCGTCTAGCTGGCGCCAGAGCTGCGTCAGCCACGGGTCGACGGCAGCGTCCGGCCCCAGGTCGTGCTGGTCGTCGCCGAGCGCCGGCGCCAGCAGTGGCGCCGCGCCCAGCTGCAGAAGCCGCCGGTGCAGCCGCTTGCCGACGAAGTTGAACTTGGCGTAGGACGAGTCGCCCAGTGCCACCACGCCGAAGCGCAGCGCGCGCAGAGAGTCGGCCGGCAGGCTCTTGCGCAGCAGCAGGCGCCAGGTGGAGGCCATGTTGTCGGGCACGTCGCCCTGGCCGGTGGTGGCTACGACGAAGAGCGCCAGCCGCTCGTGCAGCAGCGCCGGCGTGCGGTACTCGTCCAGGGCGCATACCTCGCACTCGAACAACAGGCTGTGGAAGAGGCGACGTGGTCAGGATGGCCGCGGCAGGTAACGGGCGACTGAGCGAGCCCGTCGCCCCGGGCCGGGCCGAGACATGAACAGCGCAAAAAGGCCTGGACAGAGCAGGGGGACACAACATGAGAATGGATTTTGGTGCAAGACATGCCTGGTTGCATGCTTTTAGGACTTACACAGGTAACTGTTAGCGCATTTAAGTCCCGCAGGCCTGCGAACAGCACCAAATATCTCGCACTAAACACACATCTCTTAAAACTCGACAAAATGGTAATAAACATAATGAATCTCTTTCGCTGGGATCGGGCAGACACAAGTAGCGGGTGTTACACCCTTAGAGCTTGTCCAAAAAGTGGCTTGGACAGAGGGAGGTGGTGAGCACTAACAAGTCAGGGGCCCTACCGTTTTGCCTCGCGTCCAATGCGCTCGGCCAGATCTTCAGCTGTGCCTGTTTGGCTACCATAGAGCACCACCAGACGGCCGCGGGTCTCTGGCACCTGGCCAGTAGCCTCTTTCTCACTGGTGCCCAGCTCCATCTGCACACTCCCAAAAATACCTGTTAAGTAAGGGTTAAGTGTTAATCTCATTGGTGGTGTGTGGATGACAGCCATCTATTCATTAAAGACGCTCTATGCTTCACATTCAGGGAAGACCGCAGTACAATGATCATCAAGTAAAATGTTCAGGACCATACCAAAATTAAATAATACCATCTCAAGTATAGAAAACAAGATAAATCTGTATCTCTTGCATCTTAGTACACTGTCAAATCATTTGGCATCCAGCTGGACAAGGGCAGAGGCACAGAGTGATGAATGGTGGGGAAGACAAACCTATGTGAACAACATCACTGAAAAGCCACCAGACCTAATGGCATGTAGACTTTTACACAACAATTATAAGTGGTGGCAACCCTAATAATATCACCCGACCAATGTTATCATTAGTTGGTACTCAAATCTCCACTTGCTGCAACTATACAAACACACCACACACACACTGCAAGCAGCACAAACAGTGTTTTTGGGTCCTTTTCACCACACTGGAAAATACAATGGTCCATTTTACCTCAGGACTTCTTCTTGCAGTTTCACTTTTCCACTTATCATTGCATTCTCAAATCCTGAAGAAATGTAGCCAAAATTGACTGACAGCTTCTTGCATCTTAATATTATCTACCTGAGCGGACAGATGCCATAAAATAAAAAACATCCTTTGGTTTTTCATCAAGCACTATAAGATTTGCCACTGAACATTATGTTTTCACAGACTACCTAGCAATCATAATTAAGAGCATCACAATGTTTTACCCAGGAGACCTTTACTACAAGTTGATTGGATGTTTTAGCAAGAAAAAGGCCACTAAAGCAAACTTTTTATTACCTACTTCTTTACAACTGTGAATAACCAAGATGGTAGCAACATATCATCAGCAACAAAACAAGGTAATATAACAATCCTGCTGGTTTGTTAATGATGTACAAGCTGCGAGCAAAGAACCAGGTATGTATCTCCCATGCAATGTGTGTGCAAAACTATTTAGATATTTACTGTTCTTGAAAACGTCAAGTGCAAAATATTACAAACTTTCATGAGTATTGAGATCACAATTCATGGCCTGACTGATGATTGCCTGCCTGGTCTTTAGCATTATCAAGTCAACTTATCCAGTACACATGTGGCATTCTCATTCATCCTAACCTTGGTCTATAAGTAAATGGCAGTTGCAACACACATCCTGGTTAATTATTTTGTGGGCGCCATACGACCACTGCAGTAGGAGCACCAGGCAATGTTAATAAACAAAAAATATAGTTACGTATAGTTGTATAAAAATATAGTATGTACAAAGCAAAGCTCGCCCATCCCCTCCCTTTTCCCAAACTCCTTACTAAGCTCAGCTTGACACATAACGCTTCCTACGTTCATCACGTTTGTCCAACATTTTCACGATACGTACTTTTAAATTCTTATATGGCTACTACAGAAGCCGAATGATGACCGCGTCGATCACTTCCCCATGTTTAGAGCTGTTGATTACTCATACCAAGTTTTTGTCATATGTGCGTCACTTATGCACCCAACTTGTAGCCGCAAACAGCTAATGCGGAGCGAGTCGCTATTAGCAAATGATATATCCAGCTTGATCGGGTGGACTTGCCCACATTTGCTAGATATTGCGTCTGACAGTTCAGTACAGGGCTAGAGCATATTTTGGTGTTTTGTCCGTCATCGGAGGCCCACAGTCCGATTGGCTCCACGTGGGTACCTCATTGTACACAAGTCGATTGGAATTATGAGCTGTGTCCCCGAAAGGCAGGGAGCGCGGACAAGATGACAGCGATTCTCCACCCTTGATAAGGCTCGGCATTTCCTTCCCAACCAAGATAAGAATTTAGCTAAAAAAAATTAACACCTGCGCCCTCACGCAGCAGCTGAGTCACGTGTTTATCACAAGGTGACATGGAGCAGCCAAACTCGGCAAACAGAACACCGTAACTTAGAGGAAAGGGCAAACATCTTTTTGTGACATCGCTGCATTCGTTGTTTTCTGACAGAAGCGTCCACGTTTCGTACACCTGCACTTTCTTTTGCCGTGTCCGACATTCGGATAGGGCAATTCGGCTCATGGAGCGCAGGAACGTTTTAAAAAGTAGGGAAGGACAGCAGCTGACGTCCTTTACTCCCCTACGATACAGCTGCCTTAAGTATGCCCTGAGCTTCTCAGGGCATACATAAGGCTTTTTCCTGGGAAGGCAAGGCCGGGTGACCATGTACAGAGTTGGAGTGATTTGAAAACTCTTCATCCACCATAACACAGTTTTGGAGATAGTTAATGTCCTGGCTGTGAGGGAGTAATCTCGGAAATGTTTTTTGGAACGGGGGCTAAACAGTGAAAAATGAAACACCTACCCCAAAACTACGCTTACAAACGATTTTCTCCTTGGATTTAATCTACATTGGTTTGGATCTACATTTTCTCAAAGTTGGGGGGGGGGGGGAGGAACTGGAGCCCAAGTTGAGAGGAGGGCTGGAACCCACCCCCAACTAAACTGGAGACCACACCTCTGTCTGGTTACCATGTTCTATATGCACATACAGACATTTTCGGCTGGTGCACAATCTTACCTACTCGATTCCTCCACACAATCCGGCAAACAAGGCTACAAAATTTCATCCAATTTTTCATCCATCTCAGTATTCTTTACGAGCAGGGAGTCACTTTGAGTAATTGGGAGGCAACTGCCTGCTCCACAGTCTACATGTGAAATCAAGGCCTGGGTATAGAATGGTCGGAATTTCTCGTTCCAATTCGTAGGGCACAGTATCCCAAAGTTGTTCACGGTCTTGATTTCACAACTACTCCTAACGAGATAAACTTTCGTCGCAGCATTTTAGGCATGAACCATTTCGGAAGCTCCGAAGACTGTCTGACAAAAGCAACGTGATAAAAGCCATGACACCGGAGTTTCTCCTGTGCAGAATCAAGTCCCAAAATGGAGGCCCTTCTGTCAGGTATTCCTCGGTGGGCGCCGTTGGCAGCCACCGCCGTGGACCGGCTGCCCGCCGGCGACGACCACTGACCCGTGTGACTGACCACGGGCCGACCGTGTGACTGACTGCGGGCCGACCGTGTGACTGACTGCGGACCAACCGTGTGACTGACTGCGGGCCGACCGTGTGACCGACCGCGGGCCGATCGTGTGACTGACTGCGGGGCTGTCGCGTGACTGACCAGTTGCGTGACTGCCCCGTTGCATACTGGTGGATCAGCACCACTACTTGTTGGTGTGTAAAGCAGGTGGGACGCCTGCTACAGAGCCTATTTCGGTATTATCTACCCTCACACCAAGCTGTAGCAGAATACAAATGTTCGACAAACTGCTTGCCTCACGCATGAATTACAGTCCACCGGCCATTCACTTGCTCGTGTTTTAACTTAACCGACTGGATCCGCCTTTGCATGCAGGACGAAAGCATACACTTATTAAGCAAATTGGCTACCTATATTTGCATAGGCGTGTAGCATAACCAGCGTAACCAAGCATTTCAGAAACATAGTTGGCGTTTCATCTGCCGTGCATTGCCGGTTTTTCACACACATCCTGTTAAATTACTATGATTACGCCATCCTATCAATAGTTTGAGTCGCTGTTTGAAATGCCTGCCAGGTTGCAGGCACTTGTTGTAATCACCATCATGACTTAACTTACCTGACTAATACACATATAGCTTTTAAGCACTTAATAAAATGGCCTGAATAAAAGCTGACTAAACCGGCGTAGAATACTTAGGATTGCCATTTATGTTCCATGTGCAACTGAATGACCAATGCTGTTCATTGAGCTTACGCCTTATAAGTCAGGACAATCTGCGCTAGCTCTTCAAGCGTCGGCCGTGACGTTCTCAGTCACGACAAGCCATCGATTCGATAGCCGATCCCTGAGGCATTTCGCATACATTTTCATTAAACCCGGCTTCCGCAGTCGTGTCCAGGTGGTTCCGACTCCCGACTCCAGCACGTGGTAGGCACCTGGGCTCCATTCCCAGATGCAGCTGATTGTTTGACCCGGCAAATGTCAGCTGGTGGAGGCAGATGGGTCTCCCGAAAACACGGCGGGGCCGTGCCGATGCATTTGATAACGCGTGAAAGGCTCCCTGGACGGTAGCAAGCAATTTTTTCTGTCGAATTGGGCTAAGAGTGGTCTTATACAGTCGTCTCCACAGCCCATTCGGACTTTACCGAGAGAGAAAAGGCTGTGGTGTTTCGAGGAAAGAAAGAACTGACATATCTAACGTGGCCCATAATCAGCAGCACTCAAAGACAATAACGAAAGGTGACAGTCTTCTCTTTCGAAAAGGTTCGCTTCTAAGGGACTAACAAACTTCTTTGTTTGTCTCAGTCTGCTTGTTGACAGAGGGCACCGAGCCGTGACGGGTAGACTGACGCATCGCACGCGCTTGCAGCACTTGCGGTGCATGGCGCCGCGCTGTTTTTCCCATGCTCGACAAGCGCATTTGGCAAACCCCTGTCACTGAAACCGGAACCGTTCAGAAATGTCCTCCGCAAACTCGGGACTCTCTGATTCTTGTTGTTCGCTGCGGTGGTTCTCAGCACATGCTCGAACGTGCCGACACCTTCCTGAAGACTTACTCTGCATAAGTAAAACAGGCTGACGTATGAGGGGGTTACTGTAGCCAGCTGCGTTCTATAATGCGAAGCACACTTAGCAGCATTCGTAGGAAACAACAAACATTGATCGGCTTCGCAGCATTACTTTTACTTGCTTTAGTCAAGTCTTGCTTAAGACATCTATCTTTTTATTCCGGCGCTTCATAACACGCTTAATGATGATGCATTAGTCTGACAAACAGCGTTCTAATGGTGCCAATGGAAAAAAAAAACATTAAGCCCGTGGCATTTCAACTGATACCTAAACTTTTCGACCAGATGGTGGAAAAGCGATGGTTTTGCGAAGGGTAAATGAAACACTGGCATTATTTGAAAACCTAGTTTTTCTGGCATGCTGCACCACTCAAAGCGCTTACGACATATATCTACCTTGAACCATTATCAGTTATCTGGCAATCACCCAGTGATTTTCACCTTTGAGAGCTCTGCAACTTTCAGAACGTGGGGGACTGTGCCCTTCAATCTCAGACCCGAAATCACCAATGCATGTACTTACGCGCGTGCCGGTGAAACAAGTAAAAGGATATAATCACACAGAGCGCAAAAAGCATTTGGTATGATTGCTACAGCGCCGTAGAAACACTGAATCGAACATCCTACACGTAAACCCTTTTAGCAGTGAGCTTGTCGTGCCGTAAATGCCAGAGCTCCTGCCGTAAATTGCAGAGCTCGCGCTCGCCACTTCCGGTGCTCAGCGCCATTCCACCGATGTCCGGCAGTTGTTTCGCATTGGCAAAGCAGTGATATCTCTGCGGAGGTCGCCGCTGCCCCATTGCTGAACTGTCCTCCCCCAATGCTAGGTTGGTCCCCGTCATGTGGATTGGCCCCCAATTATCCATCTAAAAATCTAAACGCGTCGTCGACAAATTAGTGTTGGTTGTTACTTCTCTCATATGCCCTTGTTTGTAAAGAAAGCCACAGATTATCCCGGGCTTACACCTCTTGGCAGGT